GTCAGAGTTGATACACTCTTGACGAGAACATTATAATAATATAAAATAAAATAATATATAAACACATGTTAAGTGGTTGAGTATGATCAGATGTTGCTCAGTTTAAATAATAAAAAGGCTCATTTTGCTGCTGTTTCAGTTTAAATCATTGTGACTAGACTAGCTAACTGTTAAAGTTAGTGGTAAAATTTTGGACATGTGACTATTCCAGAATTTAAACAGCTAAACCAAAAAGATTTAGTTCTATATATGAAAGTAAACTGACAACAAGATGTTATAAACGAGCAATATTCATGGCAACATTCCTGACCGACAGTTTACCTCTTTCAAACGGAGTTTCTCTGACTCAGTCTGCTGCTGCCTTTACTCTGAGCCGTTCAGAGGGGGGTGGGGAAGGAAGCGTTCTGCTGAATGCGCTGTTATGCGCCTTCAAAATAAAAGCACGCGAGTGGAAGATTTTAAAATTCTTCGCAACTGCAGTGAAATTATTGGGGGGGACGAATGTGGCTCTCTCCAATATTGGGGGGGACATGTCCCCCGCGTTCCCCCGCTTCCTATGCCTATGGTTGTATTTATTTCTGTATTGTTTTCTCGCTGCATCGTTATGTTAATGAGGTGGGCTGCCTTCTATGTCCAGCTCTCTATTGGTCAATAAACAGGAAAGTGAAAGATCCGTGTGCAGATCCATTGTGAATGCCTGCGCTGTGGTCCTCTTCGGAGAGAGCCTTATAGACCCTTTTCACAAGACGTAAACAACACCCGTTTAACATCCTAACATCCACTATCTATACATAATCTAAACTGGACAAATTCCTCGCTGATTGATACCAGTTTGACTACGAAGGTACGTGTTTTTTTTTTTGTTTTTTTTTTCTAGCTGTTACTTGATATACTAGGCTAGCAATAGTAATATGTTAGCTGGCTAACTTTATGTAGCCTTTCTGTTTTGGAAATAGAACGTATTTAGGCTCTAATCTTAATCACATTTTTATAGTATAGACTGGGGTTGCCACCCGTCATGGAAAATGCGTGATCATATTAAATCCTCCTCATTTACGCTAGTTTCACCACCCGCTCAGTAGCGACATTACCTGTAGCCACATGTCCAAAACTTGACAGTTATGCCAAACACCTGCTGCTCCACCACATCCTGAGAAGTTACTCTTGCTATGATCAAGACATGAGGAGGAAGACGCTATTTTAGATAGATAGATAGATAGATAGATAGATAGATAGATAGATAGATAGATAGATAGATAGATAGATAGATAGAAACATTTCATTGGAGAAATGTGATTATCTCTCTCTCTACTCAAGAGAAGCTATTAACAATAGTTTTTTTTACAGAACTCTACACAACATCAATTCATTTATTATACATATAGATATTAACTACAGAATAGATAAGCAAAGATTTCATTTCCAACACAGTTGCAGTATTGAGTGTTCATCCAAGAAGTGTGACTTGCAGGAGCAGGGAGGCTCTGTACTGGTTTCTCCTTTTAAATCAAGAAGCCCATGATAGTTTGACTAGGCAGCAGATTTCCCACAGCTGATTGACTGAACCTGCCATGGACAGAGGAAGAACATCCCAGATATGGTAGGTTGTTAGGTAAGCTACTGTTGAGAAAGATGGACAACAAAACAAATGGAGAAATTATGAATCACATCAGAATATGTAAATTATTTGGCAGATAGAGCTTAAATCAATATTTAAAATGCTTTTCTAAACAACAGTGTTGGAAGATGTAAGTGATTTTTGTGAAACTTAACACAGAACTGAAAGGCAGTGGTGTATGTGTATGTTTCCTAACTGTGGCTAAAGCTAAGCTACTGCTAGCTGGTTTACTCTCCGATCGGAGGCTGGTTCCTTTGAATACAGTTGGAGAATGGTAAATTGACAATGACTAATAATGGCTAACACTTGCTGTTTTACTAAAGTTGATACAGAAAGTGAACCTTTTAATGTTACAACACTGACAGGCAGCGGTGTATATTTTTCTTAACTGTGGCTAAAGCTGCTGCTAGCTGGTTTACTCTCCGATCAGAGGCTGTTTATTATATACACCAGTGACGTGCGGTGAGGGGAGGCAGGTGAGGCAGAACCTCACCTGTCATCATGGAAAAATAATATATAATAAAAACTATATTGCTATTTTCACCCTGTGGTTTGTACTATAAAGTATCTATTTTTTACTTACCTTAACCAATTATGATGATTTTTTCTTCAAAATCGCTGGATTTTCGCATTTTCCCATTCAAATGCTCAGAAGCGAAGCCGGTGAGGCAGCAGCGAGCTGAGCCTCACCTGGTATTGCGCAACCTCTCGCGAACTGCACTGGCTGCCATCCTATGGGGGCAAGTTCGTTCTGTCTGTACGCCAGCAATAAAATGGCTACAAAACATTTAATATATGGACTGATTTTCCATAATTTCGCTTATATTGTACAGTGCTTTTTTTTTTTTTTGTCACCAACTGTGTTTGTATCGTGTTTTGTGTGCGGAGGAGCGATCAGAAGCGGCAGAGAACAGACTCGAGGTGAGGCAGGCAGTTCTCTTGCCGGGGGCGCTCATGATCCCAGATATTGTGACTGCACAACTGCAGAGTAAGACACAGTGAGCTAGCCATGGAGCTAGCCATACAGTAAATAAGTAAAGTACAGCGATATATTTGTTTTCTCCTCTCTTCCGATGTCAACATGAAAGACTACATTTCTACACTTAAACAGTTTTCTAAAGTGGATTTTCAATTGAAGCAGGAGATAATAACTAAAGGAAGACCAACACCGGAGCTGAAAGTTTTGCTTCGAGACAGTTTGGTGATTCTCAAACGGAGTAGAAAAGACATGCTGAGGATAGACTTGGCTCTGGATGAACGGATATTTTTGTGCAGAATTAGCGGTCCATGGATTTCATTGATACATAAAGGTAAGACATCAATAAGATGGTTTTTTTTTATGAAATGTGCATTTTGTGGGCAGTTTGTATGTCTAAATAATTCAGTTAAGAAGAAGCGGTAGCTAATCTACCACAGCAATTATTTATTAATAAAACATTAAGCCTAAATCGTACTACAACAGACTAAATGTTCTGTTCTGTGTGCAAAATTCTTGAATGTGTTTTGGTGTTAAATCCTAAAACATTAAGTGGCATTGTTGTCAGTTGCTATGGCAACGAGTCTGTGTAGCTTGGCGAATACAGATCACTTTGCTGTGGACCATAGCACGAAATCAATACCTACAGTTCTAAGTTTCACTGAGTTAACGCGGCTATGGATGACATGTAAAAGGTCAGTCTTTTTGCCCTCCAGCGTTGTAAGCCTGCGCGAAATTTCCGTACGTCCAATAACATGCATGGTGTCTAAGTCATAAGTCAGTGCCTCATCAGCAATGAACCTCACCGCACATCACTGATATACACAGTCAGAGAATGGTGGATTGACAATGAGTAATAACAGCTATCTAACACTTAAATGCTGTATTAATAAAGTTGATAAATAAAGTGAATCTCCAAACGTTACAGCATTGACAGAGCGGTGTATATGTTACACGTCTCACCTTATAGTGGTCTAATGTAACAAATGTTTTGTTTTTTTCGGGTTTTTTTCTTCTTCTGATGAATTTCTGCTTCCCCTTTGATCTTGGTGGAGAGCCTGTAACGACGAACAGCGTCAGTGAGAGAGAAAAAAAAGACAACTGCCATCTTCTTCCCCAAACTCTGTCTGAAGAGCAAGGGGCGGGGCTCCTCACTTCCGGTCTCCTGGTGAGACGCTGCCCGAACCTTGGTTACTTTTTTAAAAAAATTTTATCTAACAGGGTATTTTGGTCAATAACGTGTAAAACAAAATACATACATATATATATATATATATATATATATATATATATATATATATATATATATAATAAATTGCAATACTACTAATTTATGTGGTGGCGTATATTCTTAAACAGATTTTCTGGACTATCAACAAGTGATAATTAAATTCTCCCACTTTATGGTGTATCACACACTCCCCGACAAACAAAGGTGGCCCCTGACACTTAGTCTCCAAAATAACTTGACTGAACATACTTTTTTTTTTTCCAAAACATTGCAAAACAAAAATATGTAGTGTTGTGCGTCGCAGGTCGCTCCAGGTGAGTATGCAGTGTATGATGTATGTTTTGCAGTAGATGGATATATAATGTATGATGTATTTGTTGTTCAGGTATGTAACTATCTTTCCCAGGTGTTCTACCTGCAGTGTGTTGGATACATAACTGGTAGGTAAGGGTAAGGGCTAATGGGTGGTGGTTGGATAGGATGGAAGTACGGGGAGGAGAAACACTGGTGCATACACTGCATTGGTTGGGTTCCAACTGCATTCACAATGGGGCGCGGCTGGTACACTGGTTGACCAGAGTCGGGTAAGTGAACATATGTCTTGGCCGTCTTTCTCTTGTAGACCGTCTCAGGGAGACTGGGTGTTCTGTGCCAGGTGTTAGAGTATTGTCCTCTTGAGGGGCAGAATGCTTGACCCCTGCCTTCCACTTCTGACACACTCTCCTTCCTGTCCAGGTTCGGTTGAGATTGCTTCCATCAAACTGGATTCATTCTCTTCAGCTATCTCTTGGAAAGCATCGGTAGATTTTTGATCAGGTGGATGAAAGTTTGATCTGGGTCTCTCCACAGGTATTCGAAGCCAGTAACGAGGTGTTTCCTCATCCTCCTCTTCGTCAGAGTCATCCGTGTTTGAGTGCAGTACAGCATGTCTGGCCTGAAGGTCGTTTGAACTATTTTTGGCTTTCCTTTGTGACTCTGCTGTACTTGTGGTCGGGTTCTGGACAGGCTCTATAGGTAAGTCGTTTACCTGTAACAGTAGGTTTCGGTGTAGAATGCGAACTGGCCGACCTCCTTGCTCAGGGCTGACTTTATAGACAGGGTTGTCACCCACCTGCTCTCTGACGATGAAGATCTGCTGCTCCCAGTAGTTTCTCAGCTTTCCAGGGCCCCCACGTTCACAGAGATTGCGTACCCTGGTCATGATGGAGTTTGGCAGGGTACCCAAGTCTCGGGATGAAATCATTGAAAAGCCGGTCGGCTGCTGTCTTACCAGCCTTGTTCTTGGTGGGATAGGCTTGGGCAAACCTGGTAAAGTGGTCAATCACAACCAGGATGTACTCGTACCCACCCCTGCTGGGTTCCAAGTGAAGGAAATCGATGCATAGCAGCTCGAGGGGTGAAGTCGATGTAATACTTCCCATTGGGGCTCTTTTATTTATGACTGGTTTCTTCTGTTTGATGCAAGAGCATTTCATAGTGATGTAGTCCTCTATATCACTTTTCATGAAAGGCCAGTAGAATCGCTCCCTTGCCAAGCTCAGCACTTTTTCAACGCCAACATGACTCAGGTTGTTGTGGAGGTGAGTCAGAACTGTTTGTTTATATGTGGCGGGCAGAACCAGTTGTTGTCGACTCGCAGTCTTTCTATAGAGCAGATCATTCTCCGGGTATAATTTGCCCCACTCTCGCAGCAGCCTCCTCGTGTGTCCATCAACTTTATTTCTTTCTTCCTCTGTTAGTGGTTTGTCTTGTTGTTTCAACTCCACAACTTTCCCAATGGCAGGGTCTTTCCTTTGTTCCCTCACCAGCTCATCATGACTGACTATCTGCAGACCCTCGAACTGGGTTTGGCTAGGGTGTGACAAGTTGAGGGCTGCCACCCAGGCCACATCTCTCTGTTGAGCTCTCCGGCTTCCTTCCCATGCAGCACAGACTGTGTCCTCTGATAGTTCTTCAGAGCATTCAGCCATAAAAGTGTCTATATCCAGGGGCTATCGTGACAAGGTGTCGGCATCAATGGCAGTTTTACCTGGTCGGTATTTGATGTCGAAGTGGAAGTCAGCCAGCTGCTCCACCCACCGGTGACCCACTGCATTAAGCTTGGCAGTGCTCAGGATGTATGTGAGTGGGTTGTTGTCCGTGAAGACTGTAAAATGTGAGGCATAGAACAGATAATCACGGAACTTGTCACATATCACCCACTTCAATGCCAGGAATTTGAGTTTGCCACTGTGTAGGTGATAATTCTGTTCCGCTGGTGTCAGTGTGCGTGACCCATATCCAATCACCCTCATTTTTCCATCCTGAACTTGATAGAGAACCGCACCCAGGCCCTTTTGGGAGGCATCAGTGTGAAGTGTGAAAGGGCGGTCGAAATCGGGGTATGCCAGTACTGGGGGTTTGGTCAGTCGCTCAAGGACCTGTTGATGTTCTTTGGTCCACTCTATTGGGGTTCGAGAGGACTGTTGGTGGCCTTTTGTTTTCCCCCGCAGCAATTTAAGCTGAGAGGTGTCGGCCTTTAAATGAAGCAGGTCATACAGGGGCTTGGCTATACGTGAAAAATCCTGCACATATGTTCTGTAATAGCTCAGGAACCCGAGCATTTGCCTGATGTCCCCAACTGTTTGTGGTGTCTTGTGTTTCAGTGTTTGTACTGCTTCAAAATCTTTGGGGTTCATCCTTACTCCATCTGTCGACACCAACCGGCCCACGTACCTGACCTCCTTGCAAAAGAGCTTGCATTTCTCTGGCTTCAACTTTACACCATAGCACTGCAAGGCTTGGAGGACTCTGCGTAACACCCGCACGTGCTCTTCAAACGATCTGGAGAAACACAAAACATCATCGAGGTAAGGGATGCAGCACTCATCTCTCAGCTCGTCTAGCATCCCCTCCATGCTCCTTTGAAAAGCTGCTGGTGCGTTTGATAACCCAAACGGTATTCGGACCCACTCGTACAGGCCCCATGGGGTTATGAACGCAGTCAGGTACCTTGACCCTTTGGCAATAAAGCCTTGATGGTAGGCTTTCCCTTGGTCCAGAATCGAGAACCAAGCATATCCTCCCAGGGAGTCGGTGAGGTCTTGGATTCTAGGGAGGGGATGTCGGTCAGGTACGGTTTTGTTGTTGAGGAGCCGGTAGTCGACGCAGAGTCGTAAGGACCCATCTTTCTTCCTGACACATATGACAGGGGCTGCATATGGTGACTGAGATTTCACAATCCAACCTTTAACCAGAAGTTCCTGGATGTACTCCTTCACTTCTTTGTAGAGTGGCTTTGGAATGGATGCATAGGCTCTTTGGACTGGGATATCATCCTTAGTCCTAATTTCCATCTGCAGAGAAGGGATGCATCCAATGTCATCACCGTCACGGGAGAAGGCTCCACACTCCTCACATAGCACTTTCTTCACCACCTCTTGTTGTTCGAGGCTTAGGTGACTGACTTCGACAGGAGGGAGCCAGGAGTCAGTTGGAGAGCTGCTGGAGGATGCAACTCCACTGACCCTAACTGCAGCCATTTCTTTTTGGTGGGACCCTGGAGTGTTGGTCTCCAGGACCTTTATGACATGTTGGATGGTTCCCAGGGGAGTTCTTTTGGGTAGGGTGACCTCATGTTTTGAGTGATTGGAGATGGGCACTTTAACATATGGTCGCCTGGCCTCATTGACTTTTAAGAGGCCCTCCCCCACACCCAAGTGTCCTAAAGCAGTGCTCCCCTCTGCAGGTTCATATAGGACAAAAGGGTCAACGATGTTAAAATTTGGGGGTACCCTGCACCACACATGAGCTGTTCTCCCAGGGGGGATAATAGTGTGGTCTCTACCCACCCTTATGGTGACTGGATCATCACATGCCCTGGGAGGCACCTGAATGAAACTCACAATGGCCTCCACCTGCTCCTCCTCTATCCCAAATGCCTCACGGAAGAGACTGACTGCTGTGGTAACCGCCTCACCCGAAGACTCCTTTCTTTTAATGATCTCCTCCAGTACTTTGGCTCCAAGAAGGGGCTGGGGCAGGGGCAGCTGACTGACAAGAAAAGGAGCCTGTATGGTCAGGTTGGGGTCATCGTTTCCTGCTAAGTTGACAGTGAGCTCCACCCATCCACTGTACGGCACTGAATGGCCTGTAACTGCATAGACACCGAGTTCCTCCTCTAATAGCTCAGAAAGGGGTCTCACTGTACAATTTGAGATGTGAGTGGCAGCCCATTCTTGGTCGATTATACTCACTTGTGACCCTGAATCAAATAGGACTGTAATTGGGTAGCCACCAAGCAGGCATTTCAGCAGGCTTTTCTTTCCAACGAGGGGTGCTTTACAGGTGACTGTTCTCTGGCTGAGAGGTGTATGAGGCTCCTGACGTCTTCGTTGGAGGCGTCTTGCTATTTGACTTGAAGCTTGACCTACTGTTCGGGACTGGAATTGCTCACCGGTCTCTGGGTGTCCCTCATCAGAGACCGAGTCCCGTTTCCCTGTGGCTGGACTCGCTTCAAACACCCAATCGCCCTGTGCCCTGCTTCTCCACATGTAAAGCAGTGGTTACACACCTGTGAGTTCTGCTCAGTACACACAGGGCAACGAGCCATCCTGCCCCTCATCTGAGTTGCGGGTTGCCTCAACAGAGGTTGTGGCCGGCTGCTTGAGGTTGGTTGGTAGAAAGGGTGTGGTTGCATATGGGCTGACCTAGTTAGAGGATGAGACACTTGTGGGTTAGCTGTATGCAGATCCATCAATGAAGCCACCATCTGAGTCAAGGCTTCAGCTTGAGCACTGAGCTGTCCTATTGTCTGGAGATTCTTACTGTCTGCTGTTGCATCTTGTGACTTGTAATTACCTCCTGTTTCAACTTTGGTACTGTGTGCTTGTGTTGTCTTTTGTCTAGGGAGTTGGCCCAGTCTGCGTTGGTGCTCATTCTCATCACTCATGATTTTCATGACTTGGCTGAGGATTTCCTCATCTGTAACTTGGCTGTTTGCAATCAGCGGTGTATATGTTACACGTCTCACCTTATAGTGGACTAATGTAACAAATTGTTTTGTTTTTTCGTTTTTTTTTTCTTCTTCTGATGAGTTTCTGCTTCCCCTTTGATCTTGGTGGAGAGCATGTAACAACAAACAGCGTCAGTAAGAGAGAAAAAAAAGACAACCGCCGTCTTCTTCCCCAAACTCTGTCTGAAGAGCAAGGGGCGGGGCTCCTCACTTCCGGTCTCCTGGTGAGACGCTGCCCGAACCTTGGTTACTTTTTTAAAAAAATTTTATCTAACAGGGTATTTTGGTCAATTTAAGTGTAAACAAAAACACATATAATAAATTGCAATACTACTAATTTATGTGGTGGCGTATATTCTTAAACAGATTTTCTGGACTATCAACAAGTGATAATTAAATTCTCCCACTTTATGGTGTATCACATATATTTTTCTTAACTGTGGCTAAAGCTGCTGCTAGCTGGTTTACTCTTCGATCGGAGTCTGTTTATTTTATACAGAGTGAGAGAATGGTGAATTGACAATGAGTAATAACAGCTATCTAACACTTAAATACTGTTATTAACCTTACCTTTTATTGTGTCCTTAAGATAATGAGTATTCATGAATTTTTCAGTCAGGTTTCCCCGAGGACTGTTGAACTGAGGCCGAAAGCGCCAAGTAGGCAGGCATTCACAATCGATCTGCACACGGATCGTTCGCTTTCCTGTTTATTGACCAATAGAGAGCTGGACATAGAAGGCAGCCCACCTCATTAACATAACGATGCAGCGAGAAAACAATACAGAAATAAATACAGCAAATGGAAATACAGCAAAC